CAATACCGTAACAATAATGGTAAAGATTTCGTAGTTGAATGATCAATACCATTACTAGCTCTACATAAATAGGTTATAATATACGGACTAGATATGTATTTTCATTAAATATTTAATGGTAAAGATTTAATAGTTGACTAACCAATGCCATTATTAGCTGAACATGTATAGATTATAGTATACTGACTAAATATAAACTTACATCTAATATTTAATGGTAAAGATTTAATAGTTGACTAACCAATGCCATTATTAGCTGAACATGTATAGATTTTAGTATACTGACTAAATATAAACTTACATCTAATATTTAATGGTAAAGATTTAGTAGTTGACTGACCAATACCATTATTAGTTGTACATGTATAGATTATAGTATACTGATTTAACATAAACTTACATCTAATATTTAATGGTAAGGATTTAGTAGTTGATTGACCAATACCATTATTAGCTGTACATGTATAGATTCCTGTATCCTGACATTTTGCTTGTGTTAATGTCCACTGTTGACCAGTGTTAGTATCAGTACTAGTAGAAGATGACCAGGTTACAGTAGATACTGGTTTACTATCAACATTACAGTTAAATATAACATCAGAACCTTCACTAGCTGTGTTATTTACAGCATCAGATGTTACACTGGTTATATCAGGTGGATCTGAAACAGAAGTAAGGCAATTAATAATCTTTAACATAGTCAGAATTTTATATGCCCATTCAGCAAACAATGAGTCCTAACATTTTCCGTTGATCTGTTTATATCAAATTTATGCTCACTTTAAAGGCATCAATCTTTGACAGATTGTTTCCGTAGGTTTGGGCCGTGCCAAGGATGATGCCTATAGATTTTTGTGATGTTTGGATAAATCAATTGTAAGCATTTTTCGTATATATTTTTAGTGGATGAAAGTTGTGATCGTGCAAAAGTACTGAGAAACATCAAAAGCTTAGTCTTTCAGCAATACTCTTTGAAAAATATCTATCAAGACCTTTGCATTTATTTAAAAGTAGCTTTTCAGTCGAGCACAATAACAATATTATCAGAAAATGCCCAATTCTTTTTTTATGATTATACATTGACATAGAGAGGTGGGTCATATAATAAATATATACTTACAATGTACATTAACTTGTATAGATTTAGATCTTGTTTTAGGGTTGGTATTTTTAATATTGGTAGCTTCACATCTATAGTTTCCTTCCTGATTTCTTTTTATTTGAGTCAATACAAGATCTTTAGTTGGTGATGTAACAGGTCCAGTCCATTTATAATTACATTCATAACAATCAGTTAAACATGTTATAGTTTGATCTCTACCTTCTATTATATTGATACTTGTTACATCTGGTGAGAAAGTAAGTTTATCTGGACCATCTGAAATAATAACAATCAGTTAAACATGTTATAGTTTGATCTCTACCTTCTATTATTTTGATACTTGTTACATCTGGTGAGAAAGTAAGTTCATCTGGACCATCTGAAATAATAACAATCAGTTAAACATGTTATAGTTTGATCTCTACCTTCTATTATATTGATACTTGTTACATCTGGTGAGAAAGTAAGTCTATCAGGCCCATCTGAAATAATAACAATCAGTTAACATGTTATAGTATTATATACTTACAATAATTCTGGGCAATAAGCTGTTTTGTAAGTTGTTTATTTAAGTGACACTTCTCCTGATAACGCCGCCTGTAGGAGGATGTGAAACGTTGAGTTAATAAATGTCTTGTGCTTCGTTAAAGTATTATATAATAAATCTGAACATTAAGTTGTTTTCTAAGTTGTTTATTTAATACAGTATGTGTAACTGTACAGTTATAAGAACCAGTTTGCTGTCTAGTATTTATTAATAAAGTATTATATACTTACAATAAATCTGAACATTAAGTTGTTTTGTAAGTTGTTTATTTAATACAGTATGTCTAACTGTACAGGTATAAGAACCAGTTTGATTTCTAGTACTAAGTGATAAAATGTTATTTAGAATTGTCGTTGAACCATCTTTAGACCAGGTGATATTACAATCTGGTTTACAATCAGCTAAACAGTTGACACTCTGACTCTTTCCTTCTATAACATCTATATTATCACTAGTTGAGTTAAATCTTATATTCTCTGGACCATCTGTAAAAATCACTTTATTATTTCTTTTTAAATTTCTTTTATTGAATTTAACCAAATAACGATGCTCATAAAATAAGAAAGGACAACTTTTTTGCTTCACAGAAAATGAAAATTAAGTGTGTATTATCCTGCCATTTTGACTTAAGAATGATAATCTGAAAATTCAACAGAGATGAAAATAAACTTACAATAAACTGGAACAGTAGTTGATCCTTGTCCACCAGAATTACCTCTACAAGACCATGTTGTATCATCTTGTATATTTATAATACTTATATTGAGATATAGTTGTTTGTTGTTATTATTTATACATCCACATTTATATCTATTATCTGTTGAACTACTCCCACAGTTTATCATATTACATACAACAATATTGTTTCTACGGAAATCTATAGCAATAGGTGAATCTGTAACATTACATTGTAATGTATAATTTTCACCTAACTCTGCATAACTTTCAGGAACTCCTCTTATAGAATAATGACCTGTAATATAAACAATATGATAATCAAACAACTTAGTTTTTATTGCTTTGTTTTCGAAATGACTATTTTTTTTTTTTTTTTTGTCTACTTCTGGTCACGCTCCCCAGCCAAAACTGCACATACCACAGATTATCTGACATCATTATCTCTTATACTTAGCGTGTCGCTATTGTTTAAATGTAAAATGACGCATCTTCGCCCAACCGGAAATGACGTAGGACTTGAACCGTTCATTACGTCTTTCCAATACCTGCTATTATTCTGAATCTATTTTGAACATAATTTTTGTTTTGTTCATTACTTTTAACTAATGTCTAAAAGATAGCAATTTAAGAAATTTCAAATTTTGACTTTTGTCGCTGACTTTTTGATATTTTATTTAAAGCATTTTTTAAACTTCCACAATTTTATTTCAATCGGTCTAAAAATTTAATAGTAGATAAGCATTTTGATTCCTGACAAAAATCTATTTTCAAAATTTCAATATCACTTCCGGTTTTGACGTCATTCGCCTCTAAACTTGAAATTTCAACTTCCGGAATTTTGTAGGTATTTGAAAAATTCTTTTTGAAATTAGTTAAAATTGTCCCTATAACAATTTTGGAATCAAAAAATTTGACCCGGAAGTATTGTGTAAGACGCCATCTTGATATGACAAAATGGGGCCTCAGGGTATAATTGGATGTGCGTAAATTAGATGTTTATGTAAACTACAATCGATTGCTAACAAAACATGGGAAGCCGATTTTTGAATTTTGGCTTTGTATTTTTTTTATTTCCGGTTTTATGTTTTCAGTAATTGTCAAAACTATTAAGGCTCATATCTAGTGATTTTGACCTTTGGTGACCTTGTGACCTGAACAAAAGTGGTTGCCTCTTACGAGATCTATCCGATCATATCTCCACTTTTTTTGTGCATCGTTAACTTCTACAGCCATTGGAAAATCGCGATTTTTAACTTTGAGGAACTCTGTCACGTGACCTGATTAACATACGACAAAAATTCTTATATATTCTTTGAGTGAATGAAATTTCCTTTTTGGTGATATATCACACTTGACATTCTGATCAAAATTGCGCGTTTTAAAAATCGAAAATTTTGTACTGACTTCTATAGTAACTGTGCGTAAATTCACGGTGTCTATAATCTACCGACGGTCACCGTTGCCATAAAAAAACTTTTAACTACGAATATCTCATGATCTAATAATTGTAAACACTTGAAATTTTGAACATTATTTAATAATGTACACAACATCACAGACAAATTGAAATTTTTGAAGTGGGCGTGGCACATCCGGTGTGCATTTACCGTTACCTGAAATATTTGCATTTGTTATAACTCTCATAGCTTTCAATTGTCACCCTAGAAATTTTGCATGAAAATAGATCACTGCTTAGGACAATTTGTGATAAGATTACAGTTGTTTGCATTCTTTACTTTAAAAAAGGGAATAGGTTTAACAATTTTATAAATTTTCATTTTTGATCTTTAACATTAATGACCTTGACCTTTGCATGGTCAAAGGTCATTGACTAAGGATGACCATTCTTACTTTGATCATTGATGTCCAATATATACTTCCGGTTTTGCAGACGTCCGAAAACAGCAATTTTCGAAACTTCAAAGGCACATATTACTTTTATTTGACATTTGTTGACCTTTTGACCTGCACAAAAGTTGTTGCCCCTTACGAGATATATTCGATAATATCTTCACTTTTGTTGTGCATTGTTAACTTCCGGTTCTACAGCAATTTGAAAATCGCGATTTTTAACTTTGAAAAGCTCTGTCACGTGACCTAATTAACATATAACAAATTTCTTATATATTCTTAGAGTGCACGATCTCTCCTTTTTGGCGATATATCACACTTGATATTTTGATCAAAATTGCGCGATTTAAAAATTGAAAATTTTGTACTGGCTTCTATAGTAACTGTGCGTAAAATCGGGGTGTCTATAATTTACCGACAGTCACCGTTGTCCTAAAAAAAGTTTAACTACTAATATCTCATGATCTAATGATTGTAAAGACTTGAAATTTTGAACATTATTTAACAATGTAGACATCATCACAGACAAATTAAATTTTTGAAGTGGGCGTGGCACATCCGGTGGGCATTTACCTTTACCTGAAATATTTGCAATTGTCATAACTCGCAAAGTTTGCAATTGTCATCCTAGAAATTTTGCATGAAAGTAGATCACTGCTTAGGACAATTTGTGATAAGATTACAGTTGTTTGCGTTCTTTACTTTAAAAAAGGGAACAGGTTTAACAATTTTATAAATTTTCATTTTTGAACTTTAACGTAAATGACCTTGACCTTTGCATGGTCAAAGGTCATTGATCTAAGATGACCATTCTTACTTTGATTTTTGATGTGCAACATACAGACAGACATACAGACATCCGAAAACAGCAATTTTCGAAACTTCATAGGCTCATATTACTTTTATTTAACCTTTGTTGACCTTTTGACCTGAACAAAGGTTGTTGCCCATTACGAGATATATCCGATAATATTTTCACTTTTGTCGTGCTCCGTTAACTTCCGGTTCTACAGCCAATTGAAAATCGCGATTTTTAACTTTAAAAAAAGGTCTATCACGTGACCTAATTTACATAAACGAAAATTTATCTTTTGTCCTTATTACACGCAATCTATTCTTTCAAATGATATATAACACTTGGTATTTTGATTAAAATTGAATTTGAAAATTTTGTATTGACTTCTATAGTAACTTTGCGTAATTTTAACGGTTTCTATAATCCACCGACAGTCACCGTTGCCTTAAAAAAACTTTTAACTACGAATATCTCATGATCTAATGATTGTAAACACTTGAAATTTTGAACATTATTTGACATTGTACATATTATTACAGACAACACAAAAATTTTGCAGTGGGCGTGGCAAATCCGGGTTACTCTTACCTTTACCATAAATAATTCAAATTGTTAAAACTCGAAAAGTTTGCATTTTTCACCATCGAAATTTTACAAAAAATTAAAGCACTATTTGGGACAATACCTGATAAAGTTACATTTTGTTTAGGCCTTTTACTTTAAAAAAGGGAATAGGATTTACAATTTATAAAATTTTGATATTTTGACCATTTACATGCATAATCTTGGTCTTTAGAAGGTCAAAGTCATTCATACTTTTATCTTTGATGTCCGACATATATTTTCGCTTTTACAAGCGTCCCAAAACAGCAATTTTCAACACTTTTAAGGCTTATATTCCCTTTTATGATCTCTGTTGACCTCTTGGCCGAAACACAAATTATTGTACCTTTCCAAAAATATTTTCATTTTTGTTGTGCGAATTGAACTTTTAACTTTACAAGTTTTTGAAAATTCGACTTTTTACTACCGAATGTTAACACCTTTTAGTACCGAATGGTATCAAATCCACGCGTCTTTTCACTACCGAACGTTAAACGGTTTAAACGATTGTTTTTACTATTGAATGTTTACATGCTTTTCTTTCCGGTAAGATATCTCATTTTGATTTTAAAATGCAACGTGTTATCGATGTATCAGGTTGGATGCGCACTGCTTCGGTACCGTTATAACGGTTCTAGTTCCATTTGATTTTGATTTAAGTTCACAAAACCGTCGTTGGTACAATATTTCAATCTAAGATTATTTACATTAGTTTAGATAAAATCATTCCATCAGTAAATTCTGAATTTAACCATTTTATCAACCAACTGTCAATCTTAGTTTTGGACCAAACCTTCTTAATAGAAACTCGATATCATGATGAATATTTCAGTTTGAACCAATCATTCTACCTCTCAATATAAAATCCTTACAGATTTGCTTGAATTGACAAAATATACAACACGAAAAAGAATTCCACTATTTATATAAAGATTCTATATCGTTAAAATATTGTGATGGTAAAAGTCAAATATTAATCATAAAGATAGATCAAGTCAAAGATCACAGTGCTATTCATGTTATCTTATTATATATGCATTTAGTGCAGGTTGAAGTGTAATATTTACTATTATTGTTATGTCATTTCACTCTACACAAAAACTTGTCTCATACATGAAACTGGTCTTATAGATGTTTTATATGAGAAAATATACAATGTTAATACATCTCTTACCTGTAATTAGTACTGGTAAATAAACTATAACTATTAATATCAATTTATATTTAAACTCCATGTTATTGATTAATATTCAACAAGACGATCTTCTCTTATCATATATTTGGTCTACTAGTGAATAGCGTTTTATTATAAGGCTCTAATTTACTTCCTCTTTGTACACTTATCCATATAATTGCCTTTATATTATGCTATATATTATTGTTTAACATGACCTTGATACATACTACTACATTTTAGCAATGTTTAAATGGTAATCACGTCAAAGAGGGTAACACTTAAATCTCTACCAACTTTTTGGACTCTTTGTACCTTCATATCATGCTATATATTATTGTTTAACATGACCTAGTTACTGTATTTGAGGATGAGACGGTTCTCGTGAGAATCACTGGAATCTCAGATAACAATTTGTTCCCCAATAAATTATACACTATCTCCTGGTATCCCTTCCAAAGAATAACTCAAGAGCTTAATAAAAGACTAACAGAGTGCAGTCGTTAATTCAAGACAGGTACCAAAATCCTGAAAACGTTAGACAAATTTGACAAAAGGTTATCAGTAAAATATTACATTAAAACATGACTCATGGGTCTTTCGTGTACTTCTGGGGTGCTTGTAGCCCATGTTACATCAAAGCTTGAACAACACAAAAAACCGAGATCACCTTCCGGTGCCACCAGCCCATAAAGCGGTGCGTTTAATCTGTACTCAGTAAAACTTATCAAAGTAGTGTTGCACTATGGAATTTGTTGTGCCACCACTTTTCATAATTGTTCTGTTTATTTTGTTTGGCAGACCTCACTCTCACAATTTGAAATTCAAAGTGAATTCTGACTTCACTAGAAACTGTCTCATATTCCTTTATAACAAATAATAAATAAAGTTGTCTATATATCAGTTTCACATGAATAGTAACAAAGCATAAATTAATTATATAGAAATATATTAATAAAACACTTGCCACAGTAAGAACATATAAATAAATAACTACAGAGAGATGTTTTTAATACAAAAATTTCATATGTTTATTTAAAGCATTTAAATATAATGACACAAAGTTCAATTATAGTAATAAAGTAATACCGAATACATATTAAGTATCAGAAAGAATAAAGGGTCAGTATTGGATTTTACTAGTATTGTATCAGATATTACAGTCTGTTATATTTAATATGTTAGTATTGGATATTACTAGTAATGTATAGGATATTATAATCTGTTATATTTAATATGTTAGTATGCGATATTACTAGTACTGTATCGGATATTACAGTCTGTTATATTTAATGTGTTTGTATTGAATATTACTAGTACTGTATCAGATATTACAGTCTGTTATATTTAATATGTTAGTATTCGATATTACTAGTACTGTATCGGATATTACAGTCTGTTATATTTAATATGTTAGTATTGGATATTACTAGTAATGTATCGGATATTATAATCTGTTATATTTAATATGTTAGTATTCGATATTACTAGTACTGTATGGGATATTATACAGTCTGTTATATTTAATATGTTAGAATTCGATATTACTAGTACTGTATCAGATATTGCAATCTGTTAATCGTTATATTAAATGTGTTTGTATTGAATATTACTAATGTCTTTCTTGAAATCTAGTTACAAATAACATATATACAGATATGATATCATCTGAAAAGGTGAAAAATTATAATTCCAAGAGCGAGTAAATAAATGAATTTAATTCCAACTGGGTCCCGATTTCTTTCTTTAGTACATCTTTATAACGGCATAATTCAGAATTCCAAAATGAACTTGCCCTGTATTTAAACATTCTTTTCATTGCTTCCAGACCGCATTTTCGTATGTGCAAAGAATTGTTGATTTCTGAACAGATGTTAAAGTAAGAACATAATATACATAAAAAATAACAGAGAGAAAATGTATTTGATTTTGGATTTTTGGATATTAGATATTACTAGTACTGTATCAGATATTACAGTCGGTTACATATATCTTTATTTCCTCCAAATTGAAGATTCAATATATATATATATATATATATATATATATATATATATATATATATATATATATATAAATAAATGATAGTGGATATTTACAATAGATGGAGGTTAAACAAACTATTTACAATAGGCATAGACTGATAGTTGTCTTATAGGAAATACCAATCAGAACACACTGGAAGTTACCATAATATTAGATCTGAACATTAAGTTGTTTTGTAAGTTGTTTATTTAATACAGTATGTCTAACTGTACAGTTATAAGAACCAGTTTGATCTCTAGTACTAAGTGATAAAGGGTTATTTAGAATTGTTGTTGAACTATCTTTAGACCAGGTGATGTTACAATCTGGTTTACAATCAGCTAAACAGTTGACACTCTGACTCTTTCCTTCTATAACATCTATATTATCACTATTAGGATTAAATCTTATATTCTCTGGCCCATCTGTAAAATTATATAAGTATGTTGAATTGACACAAATACTTCGACATAATCCGACATTTGGTTTGTTTACATTTGATAAAAAATGTATCTAAATCTGGGGGTAGTATCTTAGATTTTTAAATGTAAAGACGTTATTATTTGTACTGTTATTTAAGATGTAATTTCTTATGGCTATTTACTTATTAGTAATACCTAATTCAGTTTGTGAATACTTATTATTTGTAGGCTAAACTGAATATTTCTGTAAAAAGGATGAACATTATTTTGTGCGCCCTAATCTAAATTAGAAGTATTAAACTTATTATCAATCTTTGTTGTACCAATTCAACATTTGTAAAAATCATAATTTGATAATTCTAGTATTTCTTTTCACCTGTTGACATGAAACAAAGAATGCTTCACAGAAAATAATCAAGATCAATTCTGATGCTTCATGAAAACACAACCTTGGTTAGTTACTTTAAATCATTTCGTGCTAACCTATTATTCGTGCATCCCCGGAAATGATTAATGATTCACATGCGCGACCTCGGGTGACTTCCTCATTTGGATGTTTTGATAAACATGGGTAATCTCTACAACGTCAATTTTTCTTGTAGTTTCTAAAGCCACGTCAAATTTATTATTTATTTCTAACATATACAAAATGGAGGATTTCAGTTATTATCAAATATCACAATTTTTTATCGGCCGAATTTCCTTATAATCCCAAGCTCTAACCGGAATTCCAAGTGTCGTCTGCTAGAATATATTCCAGTGAATGAAGTCACGTGATAAACTCGCGGATTCCGTGTCAGCAGAAAAATTCTATGTAACGCAATGTGTGCCTATTCTTATGTTGTTTCAATGACTTTTAGCAATAAATCATTCTTACGTTTTACTTATCTTATTTTGTCTGACACTATGTTTTTTATATCACTGTCCTTTGAAAGAATTGTTATTATTTTGTTATAATGATAAATACTAAGAAAAGTTAATTATGCCACCAGGTGTTTTTCTAGACTTATATAGATCAACATTGTACACGAAAATGGGTGACGCATTTTCCGCCGTTATCATGAAATATGGGTCAAAGTCAGGGATTCATAAAGAAAATCGAAACAAATCAATTTTAATTATTCTAAGGAATATCTGAAGAAACATCTTAGACTAAACACAAATTTTTTTTAATTTTGACGAAATTCGGTGTTGAATCCTTATATGCACGAATATAGATTTTTGTTCTCTCATGCAATTAAGGACGTAATTACCTATACTAGCCCCTGGATTATTATAACGTAATTACCTACTTATAGCCCCTGGATTATTATAACGTAATTACCTACACTAGCCCCTGGATTATTACAACGTAATTACCTACACTAGGCCAAGGATTATTATGACGTAATTACCTACAGTGGCTGCTAGATTATTTTACATGCAGGCAAATTAGAAGTTACACCAGTAAGTTGTTGCAATGTATTTCTACCAGAAGATAAAGCAAAATACTGTATTTTACAGTTATATTTTACATAATAATTGTGTAATTATTTGATAAAAAGTTGCAATTAAATCAAACTTACAATAAACTGATACATTAGTTGATCCTTGTCCACCATTATTACTTCTACAAGACCATGTTGTATCATCTTGTTTATTTATATTACTTATATTGAGATATAGTTGTTTGTTGTTATTATTTATACATCCACATTTATATCTATTATCTATTGAACTACTCTCACAGTTTATCATACTACATACAACAATATTGTTTCTCCGGAAATCTACAACACTAGGTGAATCTGTAACATCACATTGTAATCTATAATTGTCACCTAACTCTGCATAACTTTCAGAAACTCCTCTTATAGTATATTGACCTGTAATATAAACAATATGATAATTAACCAACGTCTAGTTATTGTTACTTTTCACTTTAATTTCAGCTCAGAAAATTATCTTTTAGTTAAATATATCATATCTTCGATTGTTTACATTAGTAAGATAAAAACATTTCATCAGTAATTTCTGAATTCAACCATTTTACTGTCAATTTAAGATTTGAACCCAACCTTTGAGGTATGAAATAATCTAAGCTATGCAACATTATATTCTTGTAAGTAGAAACGTGAAATTATGGTGAATATTTTGGTATAATAATAATAATAATAATAAATTTTATTCAGTTTAAAGGCAAGTGCCCAAAGAACATACAATTCATTCATGTTTATAGTAATACAAGTAAATAATAAAAAAAAAAATGAGCTATTTACAGTTTGATTATTTACAATTAATTCAATTATTATTCATTCAACATTATTATGTTTTGACGCTTTTTCTAAGTAAAGTAGCATAATATATAAATTTAGCCAAGTTCCTTATAGTACTTTCGTTATGGCTGGATATTATGTTAATAAATTCTGTATATAATCTGTAAATATGTAACACCCAATATATTTTAAACGAATTTCAGAATAAAAAGGACAGATGATCATGAAGTGGAACTCGTCCTCAACTTCAATTAATGTACATAGTGTGCATAATCTGTCTAAGTAGTCTATTCCTAGCCAGCGACCTTTAACTGACAATAACCCATGCGCACTACAACTAAATTTACATAATGTTTGGTAATATCCGTCATACTTGTGGTTAAATAGAAATCTTTCAGGTAAAAATATAGGTTTATAGACGTGGTAGTTTTTCAGTGCTGTACATATGTACGTATGAACCAATCATTCTACACTCAGTATAAAATATATTTTTTTGATATTGGGATATAAGATCTACAACGGAGGAAAGAAGGCAACTGCCTGTCAAATGATTTTTATAAAGATTCTATATCGTTAAAATATTGTGAAGGTAAAAGTCAAATATCAATCATAAAGATAGGTCGAAGTTCACAGTGCGACATTATAGTAATTATATGATATATGCAAGCTGAAGTCTAATATTTACTATTATTGTCAAGTCAATTCATTCTACATAAAGACTTGTTTTTTTTTAGGTATATCATATGAGAAAAAATACAATGTAAATACATCTCTTACCTGTAATAAATACTGGTATATAAACTATAACTATTAATATCAATATATATTTAAACTCCATGTTATTGATCAATATTCAACATGACAATCTTATCTTGTCATATATTTGGTCTACTGGTGTATAGTATTTTATCACAAGGCTCTAATTTACTTCCTCTTTTAAACATGAAAACTTCTATACATGTATATATCATGTTATATATTATTGTTTAACCTGTTTTGACCTAAATACATAGTACAATATTTTAGCAATGCCTAGATGGTATCACATCAGAGAGGGTTCTCTTGAGAAACTGGATTCTCGGTTACCCAAATTTTGGACCCCTGAACCCCAATACCTTTATATTATGCTATATATTATTGTTTAACATGACCTAGATACATACTATTATATTTTAGCAATGTTTAGATGGTAATCACTTCAGAGAGGGCTCTTCTGAGAAACACTGTAATCTCGGTTAGAAACTTTTTGGACACCTTGTACGCCAATAAATTATTTACCATCTCCTGCTATCCTGACCAAAGAATAACTTAAGAGCTTAATAAAAATAACAGATTACAGTCGTTAATTCGAGACAACTGTCCACAACGAAGAAACAGAAAATCTCCAGTCGTTCATTTTACACTATGTCGATAATCACGTGCGGATTATGCAATTGAAAGGAAAATGGCGACTGGTTCGATGTTATAAATCCGCAATGCGATAATTTTGTCGTGAAAGCACGGGAATAGGTATGATTTTACTCAAAATTAGAGTCAGCGACAAAAACCCTGAAAACCGTAACAACGCAGTGATGCACTATAATATTTTTGTACCACTGCAATGCTTGTTTATTGTTAATGGCAGACAACACTCTCACACTTGTGATGTTATAATTCGAAATTCAAAGTGACTTCACTGGAAACGGTCTCATGTTTCTTTTTATACCAAATAATAATAAAGTTGTCCCCCTTTATAAAGAATTTTTGCAAATACAGGTCCTATTTGAACAAGCTTTATTTTTGGGTAGAATATAAAATATAAACTAAAACAAAATGAAACAATGAAGTAACTATAAAAATTGACATGATTACAGATATTTAGAGAAAAAAAACTGAATTATGATTTAATTTTTTATGAAAATAAAACAACTACAAAATAAGTACATAAACATTTAATGTAGAACTAAAACCATACCAGAAATAAATCATATACACTTTAAAATTACAGAAAGGAAAATGTATGGTTTCACATGAATAGCAACAAAGAATAAATTAATTATATATAAATATATTAATAAAACAGTTGCCACAGTAAGAACATATACATAAATAATAATAGAGAGAAAATTAATTGATTTTGGATTTGTGGATATTGGATAGTAGCCTACTAGTATATCTTTATTTCCTCCAAATTGAAGATTCATAATACATACATGTAAATAAATAATAGTGAATATTTACAATAGATGGTGGTTTAACAAACTATTTACAATAGGCATAGATATACCGATCAGAACACACCGGAAATTACCATAATATTAATTTACATGCAACTAGGTAGACAAACGAGAGAATATAGAGCTGAAATCGGTTGTCAGTTAGGCAAGATGATACAGGATTTGGAGAGACGTACATTAAACTAAATAGCCCTCAATTGTTTGCGATGGCTTGCATTGGATTACTAGTTCTGTATCAGATATTACAGTCTGTTATATCTAATGTGTTAGTATTGGATATTACTTGTTCTGTATCAGCTATTACGGTTTTTATATTCAATGGGTTGGAAATGGAAAAAGAGCAGGCTAATGCCGCTGTCCTGGCAAAACTTCCCTCATTGCACTCTGCATGGCGTTGCCCGTCTTCATTAGCTAACATGGTGCAGAAAGTAGGACGTAAAACTCTAAGTTTACAGTGCGATTCATGTTATCTCCATATGCATTTAATGCAAGTTGAAGTCTAATACTTACGATTATTGTTATAAGCTTTACAAAGTCTACACAAAGACTTGTCTTATACATGAAGACTTGTCTTATAGGTATATCATATGAGAAATAATACAATGTAAATACATCTCTTACCTATTATTAGTACTGGTAAATAAACTATTACCAAGTAAAACTCTGTAATATTTAATGTGTTAGTATTGGATATTACTAGTAATGTATCAGATATTACAGTCTGTTATCTTTAATGTGTTAGTATTGGATATTACTAGTAATGTATCAGATATTACAGTCTGTTATCTTTAATGTGTTAGTATTGGATATTACTAGTTCTGTATCATATATTAGTCTGTAATATTTAATGTGTTAGTATTGGATATTACTAGTACTGCACCAGATATTACAGTCAGTTATATTTAATGTGTTAGTATTAGATATTACTATTACTGTATCAGATATTATAGTCTGTTATATTTAATGTGTTAGTATTGGATATTACTAGTACTGCACCAGATATTACAGTCTGTTATATTTAATGTGTTAGTATTAGATATTACTATTACTGTATCAGATATCATAGCCTGTTATATTTAATGTGTTAGTATTGGATATTACTAGTTATGTATCAGATGTTACAGCCTGTTATATTTAATTTCTTCTCATATTTTCATATTCTTTTACATCTCCAGAATTATGTTGATTGTTATCATTAACTTCAGGACGAGTATTTAAATCTTCATATGTTCTTTCTGTAAGCAAAAAAGCGTGCATAATAACTAAAAATTTATAATAAAAATTAACTAATAATTTATAATAAAAATTACAATATTTGGGCTTTACATTCGGCGACTCTCGGCTGTTTCCGACGTAAAGCTGAAGAGCGCTATCAGAACTATGGACCGTTTTGGGTATAGTATTGATAGTCATTCTGACTGTGTAAATAATGATAAATTCATGATAACAAGTGATAATTTACCTTCAGGATTTATATTGGAAAACGTTGCATAACTGAAAGTAAGAATATGTCATAAGTAAAATGAGCAAATATGTTTTTATCAGTTTTGATCACAACTTCTAAAAACGACATTTAGATAAGGATTTAAACTTCTGTATTTAACTAAATCAATCTGCAGCGAACATTCTTTTTGTGAAAAGATCGTTGCTATATAATTACTTGAATGTCGACTAGAACATCAACACCAGCATAGCCACACAGATTGAAAATGTTTACTTAGTAGCTCAATGGGATAGATTTTCAAGGTCAGAAAAGGAAATATAACTCACCTTTCTTCTGGTAATTTCTTATTGGCTACAAAATAAAAGTTTAAATTGAAAGCAGAATTAGAATTTGTTATACCAGCTGACAAGACTCAATTTTAACTATCCGGAAAACTTTTCAGTAAATGGTTATCAAATGCCAAAATTTTAGCAGAGTGTAGGAGAAGGTTAAGTCAGATTGTAATTCTGAAAACAGACAAGTGTAACTGAAATTGACTTTAATGTTATGATAGAATAATCTTCAAAAGAAAATTTCATTTGGTTCTTCCCAAATATTTATAAGAAGTATAACTAATACCTGGATGATATTTTCTATATATAAATATTGTCAGTATAACCAGAATTACAATAACAGCAGATATTCCAATACCAATTCCAATACCAGCTCCTAAACCTTCCTGATATACAGATTGTTCACAAGAAATTGTGTTTGTTCCAGGGTCTGTGGAATAAATTAAATGAATTTGAATTACCGGTATATTAAGTTTACCAAAAACATTCAACTAAAAAATTTCCTCACTACATTCAACTGATACATTTATTCAATACATTCAACTGATAAATATACTCAATACATTCAACTGATAAATATACTCAATACATTCAACTGATAAATATACCCAAAACATTCAACTGATAAATATACTCAATAAATTCAACCGATAAATATACTTAATACATTCGACTGATAAATTAACTAAATGCGTTCAATTTATAAATATACTCAATACATTCAACTGATAAATATACTCAATAAATTCAACTGATAAATATACTCAATACATTCAACTGATAAAATTACTTAATACATTCGACTGATAAATTAACTAAATGCGTTCAATTTATAAATATACTCAATACATTCAACTGATAAAGTTACTCAATAAATTCAACTGATAAATATACTCAATACATTCGACTGATAAATTAACTAAATGCGTTCAATTTGTAAATTTACTTCATCCATTCATGTGATAAATTTACTCTATACATTCAACTGGTGAATTTATTGAATTCATTCAACTTATGAATTTACTCAATGCATTTAATTGTATTCATTAGATAATGACAATTTTGCATACTACCCCAAACATATATTTAATTTCATTTAAATACACTCATTAAAATCATATCAAATATTAATAAGTATAAGATATTCACTAATTGGATTATGATGAAGAACGTTAAAAATTCATGAAATCATTGTCAAATTATACAAATAAATTACCGAGTTCAATGATTTTTATTCCCCAGGTTTTTGCGTTAATTTCACCATTAATAATATTTTGTACAGTAATTATATAATAACCAAACGATGATTGATCTAATATCAATTCTAATGTGGATATAAAATTATTTTCAGAAACTTTCTCTGTTTTAGCAAAGGGATATTCTACATCAGACATCAACTGTTTCCATATAAAACTTGGTTCAGGATAAGCTTCTATATTTATTTCTAATAATACCATTTCTCCAATTTTTCCTCTTATTTCTTTCTTCAGTTCTTCTTTAATTATTGGTGGACCTTTTATAGTAAATGTAAAACAGTGTTACTACTTATCGATAAAAACTAAACCTCATTCAGGGATTCTAACAAGTTAAATATATGGTCTTCTAATAGCAAATAAGGTTTAGGCTAGGCATAGTTTGCACAATTCCATTATACACAATAGGAGAAACGGCTTAGCCGTTAGAACATAATGCATAACTTGAGTAGGACAATTGGTCGGACAAACCGCTCTTACAACTGTTAAAGTCGTGCATCATGTAATACGGAAACCACCTATGTGACATCATGGTCGATTATTCCTTTGATAACTTCCTTGAGTGGCATATAGTAAACGTTTCGACGATGATGCTTTCGTCTTTTTCAAGCAATGATGAAAATTCGCAAGTTATTTATTAAAGTAATTGTTATCTATATAATTGTGTCCAGTTATCCTATTGATAATATGTTGATTGGCGAACTATAAATACAAACAATACCGTTATTAGATGTACATATTCTTCTTTCTTAATATAAGCTGATATTTAATGGTAAAGTAGTTGAATGATCAATACCATTATTAGCTCTACATATATACATTATTATGTACGGACTAGCTATGCATTTTCATCAAATATTTAATGGTAAAGATTCAATAGTAAAGCTTTAGTGGGTGACTGACCAATACCATTATTAGCTGAAGATGTATAGATTATAGTATACGGACTCAATATAAACTTACATCTAATATTTAATGGTAAAGATTTAGTAGTTGACTGACCAATACCATTATTAGCTGTACATGTATAGATTCCTGTATCCTGACATTTAGCTTGAGTTAATGCCCACTGTTGACCAATGTAAGTATTAGTACTAGTAGAAGATGACCAGGTTATAGTAGATACTGGTTTACTATCAACATTACAGTTTAATGTGATATCAGAACCTTCATCAGTTTCGTTATTTACAGCATTGGATGTTATACTGGTTATATATGGTGGATCTGAAACAGAAGTAAATCCATTAATGCTCTTTGACACAATCAGTATTTTATATGCACACACAGCAAACAATGAGTCCTCACATTTTCCCTTAGTCTGTCTATGTAATATTTATGGTCATTTATAGGTTTCATTTTAATTTGTAAGTTTGGGCTCTGCCAAGGATGACGCAGATAGATTTTTGTGATGGTTGGACAAATCAATTGTTTGCATAAGAGTTTTCAAGATTTTTCAGTGATTAAAAATTGCGCTTGTCTAAAAGGACTGAGAAACATCACAAGCCTAGTATTTCAGCAATACCTTTTGAAAAATATCGATTAAAACTTTTCCATTTATTTAAAAGTAGCTTTTCAGACTAGCATTATAACCCCGTTACTTATCATCAGAAAATGCTATTTTTTATGATTATACATAGACACTTATATACTTACAGTGTACATTAACTTGTATAGATTTAGATCTTGTTTTAGGGATGGTATTTTTAATATTGGTAGCTTCACATCTATAGTTTCCTTCCTGATTACTTTTTATTTGAGTCAATACAAGATCTTTAGTTGATGATGCAACTGGTCCAGTCCATTTATAAATACATTTAAAACAATCAGTTAAACATGTTATAGTTTGATCTCTACCTTCTATTATATTGATACTAGTTACATCTGATGAGAAAGTAAGTTCATCAGGACCATCTGAAATAATAACAATCAGTTAAACATGTTATACTTGGATCTCTAACTTCTATCATATTGATACTTGTTACATCTAGTGAGAAAGAAAGTTTATCCGTATGGAAGGCGGAATTGCTTTTTATTCAATGTTCTTCATTCTTAATTCTTATCTCTTAAATGGTACGCTTAATGCTACATTTGTAAAATCAAATCGTTTGTACATTCTTTGATAAACATTCGGTTTTCCAATTATTGAAGTAATAGAATCTTTGCCAAAAATATCCTCAAATACAAATCTAGCTCAACATATCTTCGAATGCAAAACGTCAAACACAAAACTCTTCCAACAAATGTTAAAATGCAAATGTTCAATAACAAATCTCACTCAATATCGAATATATTCGGTTATGATTATGACGACAGGTGTTGCTGTACAACATAAAATAAGATATAGACTATAGATAGCCTCTACCATCCAGTTCAATTTTCAACGCTCTTTACTACGACGACATTTTGCAATTTCCGTGAAGATGTCGACCCCTTGCCATTATTAATTTTCGGGAGCTTGAATAATTCCAAAATTATAGAAGTTTGCTAAATCCCAAGAAAAATTTCCGGTTCTTGTGTGTTTTAATGATTATTTTCTAAGAACTTTGAGAATTTATTTTAGTAGGGCTATGCCGATTGCCATTCCGCCTTCCATATATTCGGACCATCTGAAATAATAACAATAGTTAAAGGGACTTAGACTTTTTATGTATAAAATGGGCAGTTTTGAATACAGGGGATCCTCA